GAAGACGATATCTTCATCGTGAGAATTTCGGTTCTGCTGGGTGTCATTATTAAATTTGCTGTCCATGTCCCAATAGATCAACCCTTCCGCAGAATTTTTTTCTTGAGACTCAACTATTTTCGACGGAGTCTCCATGGACGTCAGACATTCCACAATTTTAGGAGGTGGAGTCTGGGGTATTATCGGACTTATCATACAACACAAGGGCCACTCTGCTTCTGAGGGCGGAACCAAACCCGCCTTTAGGTCCTCGTACATTTTCCAGATATCCTCCGACGAGGGCAGATTAATAGGTGATATGGGTCGAATGTTCTGGTCAATTAACGACTCTGGCTCCACTTTCGGTGGTGGCTCTATATCGACAGGAGATTTTTGCACTATCTTGCTAATTTTTGCCGACTCTTTCACCTTGTTCTTGGTGTGCAGTCGTCGCTTCCTTACTTTCCCAGATGCATTTGACGGTGGCACTGGTGTCACGTCGGAAGTCACGGGCATGGGCTCAGAACTCTCGTCGAGCTTAAAATCCAAAACGACATCGGCAACACAAAACTTGGTGGGCAGCGGTTTTGAAATCGGGGCACTAAAATGGTTATCAAAATGTATAATTATTTACCAAATTTATTTCACATAGCTTACCCGGATAAAGGAGGTCGGAAGGAGGTGTCTGTCTGTGTGGAAAAGTTTATTTCTGGTTCTTCTAAGGGCAGAGAGTCGCTAAATAAAAGAAAAGAGGGATACATGCTATTAAAGTTCTTTGGACTTAAAATAAGTTTTTAATACCGTTTTTTTCTGGACAAAATATTCCGAGGGGTTTTCTGCCTTGATCGCGCTGTCTCAGTAATCTTTCTCTTGCCTTTCTTGGTATCCATATATTTACGGCTGGTTGAGGGTTCTTCTTTTCTGGTTCCTAGTTCATTTTCTTGATTTCTGTCCTCCAACTCAAGTTCCTTGAGCATATCATCGCTAAACAACTGCTTCATAAACTCTTCATCCACATCAGAATCTGAATCTGATAAATTCATGATTATGACGGTCCTTCTCGATTCGACGAAAGCCCTAGGTCTGCTTTCGAGAAAATGAATTATCAGACGTCAGATTTCCTTATTTTTCAACAGTGTTGCTGCGTTACCAACTGTCAATTGATTTAACTTATCGAAAAACTTATCTTTGGCATCAGGGATTAACTGTTGAATTGCTGACTTTTCGATTTTGGAGTGTTAATCAGCTGTTCCATACAAAGTCAACTTTCAGATGATTTCAGCAATTCAACAGCCTCGGGGCTGATGAAAATTTTTTGATTGCTGAAAAGCCCGAGTTGTGATTTTTTAAAAGTCGTGGAAAATCTGTAAAATTTCAGTATCACCAGTACGCATTTTTAAAATCACACTTAGAAAGAAATTTTTTTTTTACCTCGGTAACATTTTAGACCAACAAATAATAGTACTACAGTACACTATTAAATCAAATTTTACGTGTTTAAGTTTGTGTTTTTACAAATAAGCTGTTTGAAAATTCAACAGGAACCGTTTTTGTTCCCTTAATTGCTGTGTTTTTTGTTGAATTGTGAACAATTCGACAATTTACTTTAGTAGAATCCCCTGACAAAATAACTTTTCGTCTGGTTTTGGACTGTTAGATGATCCAATTCAAACTCTACGAGTTACCCGAGTTTGAAGAATACCTAAGTTTTTTTTTGTGTGCAGTTGAGAAATTCTTACCCTATACCGAAATGTTTAGGCCGAAGAGCGCATTTCATTTAATATTTTCTTTTGCGGAAAAAAATCATTTATGAAAATGTAATTAAATTAAATGCTGGAAATGTCCTCCTGCACCAAAACGGTTATTAAACACTTCTCATTGCTGTCTATCCTTTCACCTGCTCCGCTTGGTCCGCTGTCTTCATAATTTATTTTTCTTAACGCTTTTCCTCGTCTGGGGATGCTTTTCCGCCGCTGCTAATGCGCGACCCCTTGGCGGGAAATCCACAGAAAGTCGGTACTTTGTTTAAGCATTTCTCTTAATTTGTTTTGGCAAGAAAAGAAAACAATATTTCTTTTGCAGTTTGGATATTTCACTCGGACCTGGACCCGCTGAGTGCGGCGCCAGCGGAAATGAAAACTTAACGCTTATTTGAGCCTTCAACAGTGCACATAAATCACCAGACGACTGATGTTGCCCGGGCTACCAGGTTTTTCACCGCTTTTCCTCCCGCTTTTCCTACCCGCTGCTAAAATCAGCTTTGGCAGTCTTTATTTGGGGGGTCTGGGAGTCTTTTAGCAATCGCATTTGGAGTCTGTTTAGTTGGTTATTTTCTCTATTTCACTCCGCAGTTTGTGCTGTCTGGGGGCTTTGTCTGCATTTCAGTCATAATTCCGTCTCTAAATGTTTTTCGACCGCATTATGCTGATGACGATGATGATTATGATGATTGGGCGCATATGTGCGTGAAAAGTGTTCCTCTCGCTTTTCCGCATTTGCGGCGTGTGCAACTTCCGTTTCCGTTTGGCGCACCGGAAGCGGCAGACGCCTGTGGCAGGCACTTTCACTGATTGCTGCTCCCCCCGATATTCCAACCCCCAAAATACATTTACATCTCTGCCCCCCGCGATTTGTATTTTCAGTTATTAGCCATGTAACCCCTCTTCCTTTTTTTTTCCAGCCAGCAATAAAAAATCTTTCCCAGGGAACTGCATTTGATTGCCCTCGGCGAAATGAGAATTTCGTCTCGAAGCGTACATTTTGAAGTAATCTCAAAATTTTTGCTTTCCTCATTTGATTCAATTACACCTTTGGGTGTTGTAATTTTATTTTGGCCCTCCTCTTTCACAAAACAAATGGCATCCAGAGCAAGGAGCACAATGGATAGCAAAGGGAAACGGACATAAAAGAGAAGAAATTCAGGACGAAACAAATAAGTGCAGCTGTTTTCGGAAAAAAGATGCGTCTGCTGCGGCAGCTCTTTAAGCTGAATTTGGTAGGGTATCATTAGGTGCACTGCTAAAAATAAAACGTACTTAGGCTTTGATAATATTAAATAATAAATAATAACAAAAATCAAATATCAAATCAAGATTTGACACTAGATTGGTACACAAACAAACAAAGTTTATGAATGTTATAGGTTATAATATTTGGTTACTTAGCTTGAGATTATTCATGTATCTATTCATTTGTCTGTTATTTTTTTTGAGTCTTATTATTTTTATTTTACTGGCTATTATTAATTTATTTAGCACAGTGCATTTATCAAAGTAACTAAAGATAGTTAAGTCTGACTTTTAAAAGTAGTTATTAATATTTTAAAATTTGTTTCAGTGCTCACCCAGTCTGAGGTCATTTGAGCTCCTTTTTGGCAGCTTTTCACCGCCAACAATGGGCGAAAAATGTGAATTTCGCGCTAGTTTTTATACAACAAGGCTGCTAATTTGATGCTGCAACAATGCAGGCAACAGTGCCCCGTTTGTGCCCCCCTTTTGCCTTTTTCCCTGATTACCACGCCTCCCCCTTCTTCGCCCAGTGAACCACAAGCTTATAAAAGCCACGCATCCATCAGGGTTGGAGGTCGCCCCTTTGGTTTAGCTTTAATTTCATGCTTACTTTAATGTGAACAAGAGGGAAAAGCCGCCCGCTCCCATTTCCCCCCTATTCTATCCCCACCCATGTTGACTTTGTGCTGTAGTTAACGGCTTTTGGCAGCGGGGTTGCAAGCGGGTGGCGGTGGTGGGTGGCTGCTTGGAGGTTAACTACTTTTCATGAGCTTAATTTTAAATTGAGGCTGCTGCGGCGGCTTCATTTACTTTGTGCCCCGGCCAACTTTGTTGCCAGCAAACTTTTACGCGGACTGTTTAGCAAAAAGGCAAAAGTTAACTTGTGGCACAGGCTCCCCATCCCGATCCCCCTTCCCCCTACGCCCCCCGCCGCTGTGCATGAAAAAAAATTCTATTAGGAAATGCAAACCGGTTGCAAGGCCATTGAGTTATTAAGCCAACTAATTGCTTATTTGCACTGGGGAAAAGCTCAGAGATCCGATCCTCCAAATCGCAATTTGCACTCAGCGCGAAAAATTGCCACTCACGCCCCTCACTTTCCAGGGGGCGTGGCCTCGGCAGATAGCAAATCGCCCCATCCACTTTATTCGGCCATCCAAACAGCAACGCCTCCTTTTCATTTTCCCCCAAGAGTGAGCGAAGTTGGTTGATTTTTCCAGCCTTGCCTTAAGTTTTAATTGCGCGGCAAGTTGCTCATGATCGTGAGTTTAATTAAACTGCAGAGCTCGACCAGTGCGTGTTGATGGCTCTATCAGGGGGCAGGTCTTATCTATCCATCTACTGGAATTAATATTTGATTTCAGCTTCCTTAATAGAATGAAGCTGAAACTCACCTGCTCAATACATTAAAATTAAACTCTAAAAAAGAGTAACTACTAACCATTTTAATACCAAGACAAGATCGGAACTACTTGTAATTCTTCAGCTGAAATAGCCACACGAAAAATTTAGTTTTCTTTACAGTTAATTTATGAATTTTATTTGTTTTAATATCTTTACAAATGATAGAGAGCCCTTTATCGAAGTAAAACGTCCTCCCTCAAATTCTTTAGTAATGAGTTCTTTTTAAAATCTGCAGGCTATAAGCTTAGCCGAGCTTAATCATTTTTAATGAATCAAGTCAAGTATCTTAATATAAAATACATATGTACAATAATACATATGTATATATTATGCAATCAATTGAAGAAATAAACAAACAACGATAGCGACGAAATTATTTTGAGCTGATGGTATGAGCTGTGAATCATAGGAAATTTGAGTCCCTTGACAAATGACTTTAAAAAAATTTGGCACAGTCATACTTCTATAGCTTTAAGTTCCAACTGCATGTTTTGTGCATTAGTGCGGTTTCAGTTACGCAAGTCCGACTGTAGATCGTTATCGGGGATTCGAGTTAAACGGAACTTTGAAAGCGACGGGCAAATTCTGGCCTCAAATCATTTTCGAAGCTCAAGGAGTGCTCACGAAGTTTTCGTTTTTTGTGGAATTCAATCTAAAGATTTTTTTCGAGACATGGCCACCGTTGTGTATGTATATTGAATATCGCGATTATAATTTAAATTCATGTAATAACTTTTGCACTTAGATTTTTCGTTTTTTCGGCTTATGAAGTATTCAATATCAGAGTTATAAAAGCTTTTGGATTTTTGCAGTAATGTCAACACTACCAACAACTCCGCCCCCGCCCCCTACATCCCCTACGTCCAATGCATCCCCACCGCTCCTGTTGCTCCAGCAGCTCCTGCAGCTCCTGCTCTTCAACCCATCCCCTCTGTTGGTCCAAAATCCTGCTCTGTGATTTGTCCCAACTGCCGCCAACAAGTGAGAACCCGTGTGTCATCGCAATCCACCAACAAGACGCACATAATAGCTCTCATCTTGTGCTTGGCTATGTAAATAGTTTTTTGTAAAGCTTTATTTAATAACGTCCATTTAAATAACTTTCTGTCTCTTACAGGCTTTGTCCCTGTGCTGTCTGCATGTATTGCACCCCATGCACCCGAAACGTCAACCATTATTGCCCAGCCTGCAAGGCTTTAGTTAACACCTACGAGCGTTAAGCCACTTTTGCCGGAAATCCTTGGACTTCCCAGTAAACATTGTATCTTGGTTCCTTACCAATAAAAATATTCAAAAAAAAAAAACTGTGTGCTCTTTGTTCCGGGTATGAAAAATTAAATCAAGATGTCAAAGATATTTCTATACTAATTTTTTTAAATATTGCTCCCTAAGCATACTTATATCGTGGTACAAAAACAGAGTTTTTTTGGCTTTTAATTAATCAAATAAAAACACCTCTTAACGAGGTAAAAAACTAGTGACGATCGCACCTTCAACATACAAAAGTTCTGATATCAACATTTGTGACGAAAAATTATTACACTCGTCATTAAATAGACTTTCTAATATTTTCTCATTTGGCCCGACCTAGCAGACTATTCCAGCCTTTTTCCCTTCACAGGCATTTTCTATTGCAGCGTGCCGAATGAAAAAATATTAGAAAGTCTATTTAATGACGGAGTGTAATAATTTTTTCGTCACCAAATGTTGATATCAGAACTTTTGTATGTTGAAGGTGCGATCGTCACTAGTTTTTTACCTCGTTAAGAGGTGTTTTTATTTGATATCAGAAGTTTTTGTTTGTTTACATTTGCTCTCATAGGAGCTAATATATACATTTAAATTTAAATTGGTCAATCATAATTTGTAAGCCATTGTATTTAAACAAATTAAGTTAAAAAGTATTTCAAAATACCTTTTAAACGAGGTATGGCACATGTCTGTACCTTTAGTAGTGTAGAACTTACAAACTAACGAAATTTAGCCATTTTTAGCTTTTTTCCCGCTAAAGTAGCGGCTTTTTCCAAAAGTCGTAGAACAAAAGATTCCTATATGGAACTCTTAGGTGCAAATTTACTGATTCCATGACCCTAAAATACAGTTCGGATACCCTCACACAAAATTCAATACTCAGGAAGCTTTAGTTGTTCGAGCTGGCAAAAGTGGCTATATTCGTATAAAAATAACTTTTAAACGTGACGTGACGTGAATTTAAGGAATCTCAAGGGCTATACAGTTTAAAGTTTTCAAGAAAATCGTTAGAGCCGTTTTTGAGAAAAAAAAAAAAGCAAAAAAAAGTTTTAAAAAAGTGTCTTTTGTTCATATCTTTTTAATTATTACATTTACACAAATTTCATATAGAAGGCGTTTATAGCATTTTAAAATACCTTTCAAACGAGATGCAGCACAAGTCTGTAGCTTTAGTAGTATAGAAGTTACGGCCTTTAGCTATTTATAGCGGTTTTCCCGCTAAACTAGCGAGTTTTTACAAGAGTAGTAGAACAAAAGTTTTTTATATCGATGTGATGAACGTCATATCAAATTTTCAAAAATTAAAAAACATGTTTTGGACAAACTGACAAACAGAATTAAATTTTCATTTTGGGAAGAAGAAGGAAATCTTATTTTGGCTATAACTTTTGAACGGAGCGTCGGATTTTGACAAATGACCCCTCATTCGACGGGTATTTTCAAAAGAAATACAACTAACACATTGCGAGGGGGCATTTATCCCCACCGGCCCCAACAGCTCCAAATTTCGAAATTTTCATTTTTTCACTTTCACCGCTCTCTCTCCCAAGCCAATTGATTTTCTTAAAGTCTTGGTATGCAATCCTTTAAGTTTTTGCAATACCTTTTGATTGGTGTATTACTCATTACGATCGGACTATCACAGCAGATTTTCAATTTTGCGGCTATATAATAGTAGTCGCCTTCGCACACTCTCCTGGTGCGCTTCGTCACTACATGGACTGCCGTCCATAGTGATTAGGGTATTTTCCATATAACGGGCTACTTTTGTTTTGGGATCTCTGCTTGAAATTCGAACAAAACAAAAAAGAAATTTTTTAAAATTTTAAGGATAACAAGTAAGTAAAATAGATGGGGATCCATTTGGACACTTATCCTGCCTGAAAACAGGATATTTTGACAATTTTGATTTTATATGTTCTAGGGTCCTTGTGGTGTATCTATAAACATCGTTTCTTAAATTTCTTACCTTATTTAGGTTCACTAACCAGAATACGAAGTAAAAAACCAAGAAAAATAATCAGAAGTGTGAAAGGGATATGAACTTCCTAAAACGTGCTAAACTCGTGTCCAGATCATTTTCCAGGTTGGTCCACTAAAATAATTGCTTTAGATCAATGGTAAATGCGAATGCAACTATACTGACAGTGGAAGTTGTTCTATTAATATTACGAAGGTGGGTGAAAACAAGAAGCCGAAAACTCCAACGGTAAGGATAGAGAGAAAATAAACTGGTTCGAGCATGGTGTGCTAAACTTGTGGCCACCACTGTATATTATGTTTACAAAGGTCAGAATGCCCTTTATGACAGAATGCCCTTCTCCCTCGAATTTTTTAGTAATGAGTTTATTTTTAAATCTGCAGGCTATGATTTGAATCTTTTTTAATAAATCAAGTCAAATATATAATAATGAAAAATACATTTTATTTAATGCATTAAATTAAAGAATTAGGATATAGACGAAATTATTTTGAGCTGATAGTATGAGCTATACATAAATCAAAGGAAATTTGAGTCCCTTGATAAATGCTTTGACACAGTCATACTTCTATAGCATATAGCTAGTTCCCTAACTGCATGCTTTGTGTATTTAGTGCACTTTGAGTTATGCAGGTCCGACTGAACAACGTAATCAGGGATTCGAGTAGAACGGAAGTTTGATAGCGATGGACCCATTCTGTCCCTTAACAAAAGACTTTGACACAGTGATATTTCAATTGCTTTCAGTTCCCTGACTGCATGCTTTGTGTGTTTAGTGCGGTCTATGATCTATGCAAGTTCGACTGTAGATAGTAGTCGGGGATTCGGATTAAACGGAAGTTTGATGGTGGATGACGGACACTTTCTGGCCTCAGATCGTATTCGAAGCTCAAGGAGTGCGCACGAAGTTTTAAGATATTTGTGGAATTCAAGTTAAAGATTTTTTAGAGACATGGCCACCGTTGTGTAAGCATATTATAAATCGCGAATATAATTTAAATTCATGTAATTACTGACGAAATTCGATTTTTCATTTCCTTGTTTTTGAAGTATTCAATATCAGAGTTATTAAAGCTTTCCGATTTTTGCAGTAATGTCAACAACTCCGCCCCCGCCCCCTACATCACCTATGTCCCTGCTGCATCTGCAGCCCCAATCGCTCAATCCTTCCCGGCTGTTGGTCCAACATCCTGCTCCGTGATTTGTCCCAACTGCCGCCAACAAGTGAGGACCCGAACATCATCGGAATCCACCTCCAAAACGCACATAATAGCTCTCATCATGTGCTTGACTGCGTAAATAGTTTTATGTAAAACTTTATTTAATAACGTTTATTTAAATAACTTTTTGTGTCTTACAGTCTTTGGCCCTGTGCTATTTGTATGTATTGCACTCCATGCACCCGGAACGTCAACCACTATTGCCCATCCTGCAACGCCTTAGTTAACACCTACGAGCGTTAAGCAACTTTCGACGGAAATCATTGTACTTCCAAGTAAACATTGCATTAAATAAAAAGGTTCAAGAAAAAAATTATGCGTCTTTTGTTCCGGGTATGAAATCTTTGACTGAATGGCCTTAGAAAAACTAAATTAAGATGTCACAGATATTTCTATACTTATTTTTTTAAATATTGCGTCAAATATTTGTATACCTTTGCAGGGGGTATTATAATTTCAGACAAAAGTTTGCAACGCAGTAAAGGAGACGTTTCCGACCACATAAAGTATATATATTCTTCATCTATATATTTTATGGCTCCCACAGGAATAACCAAAAAAATGATAGAAAAAACATTTTAACTTTGTAGAAAGTAGGCGTTTTGATTTTTGACATTGTATCGGCCATACATTTGGTTTGAGATCTCTTCTCGGGATTTCTTCTCTTCTTTAAGCAAACTGAAGAAAGAAATATTTTAAAAATTAGTTTTGGACTATTACTTGGTGTATCGTTATAATTTAATTTAAGAAATCCTGATTTTTTGTATTTATGTATGTACATTTTATTAAATTTTTCTTACCCCTTTATCCCAATTCATTTAATTTGGTTTTACTTTATGCCCTCTGATTCCCATTCTTTTCGCGTAATTAATAAGTCGTTGTAACTTTGCAGACATTTCGCAGGTAAATATAAATTTGAGCTGTCTTTTCGCCCAGCCACTAAGCATTATGCACGATATCCTTGCTCTTTGCTCTGTCTGCATATGGGAGCAACTTTGGCCAAAAGCAAACCACTTAAATTCGTTTTAATTCAAGCGGATAGCGATCCCCCGCACCTTCCACACTTTTTGCCCTGTAACCAGACCCTTAGCTCATAATAATTTCACAACGCATACACTTGCCGTAAAATAATTTTCCAGCATTTTTTGTTTTTTCCCCTTTCCCAAGCTTTTCATAGTGTATCGTGGCGAGTCTCGCCCGGAAAATGTTCTCTTTTTCTTGGGAGTTTCCTATTTTTATTCGTTTTCTGGCGTGTCTAGTGCGTCTCAAAGGGTTTCACACTTTGTATGTTTGCGCCAGGAGCCAAAGGCTGCATATGAAAATATTTGTAAAGCCTTTCGCAATGTGGATGGAGTTTATGAGACTGGGACGAGTCTGGGGGAAAGAGTAAATGTAAATATTTAAGGCTCATTTTGGTTTATTATGATTTCATAGCAGTGCCTTAATATGGCCTAAAATTTTAAGTTATATTTTGGGAAGCTGAAAATGAAGAATCATGCATTTATTACCATTAAATTAGATTTATAAATGTTAGTCCTATTTGCATTTCATTATTATTTTACATTTTTTTTATGATGTATCTAATGTATGAAAATAAATTAATAAACTCTATATATCAACTTAAAATAATTCAATGTAGGTACAATATTTCTTTGCATATTTTAAAAATATTTAAAGAGAGCTAAAATAAATATGTTTTTTAAGACTTAAATCATATTTTAAGGGCTTGAAATTGGTATCTTTCGGTGTGGCATGTAAATACATTTCTAATGAAATATCTAACTAACCAAA